GGATTTTTGCTGCAAGGTCCTTACAAAGACCTTGCATAACCACACATATTTTGAGATATTTGAGATCACAGACATGGAGAACATTTTTAGCCTATTAATATTTTTTCCCTATAAATGCCCATATGCTTTCAATTCAGACTCATTACTAAGCCCCAGAGGCATCTTAGAGCTATAATAAGCACAGGTGTTTGTTGCCAACAAGTGTGGTACTTGCCCCCAGGGATATTCACAAAATGAGGGCCATTGGCCTCCAGTGAGGTCGTGAGCTGGTGGGGGGAGGGCAGGGAGGGAGTAACTGAATGGAGGTTTTCTGTAGCAGCAGGTGAAGTCTTTCTCATTGCCCTCCACACCAGCATCATGATTATTCTCTGCTTAGCTCACAATGTCCTTCCCGTGCCTGCTCATGCACATTTTACCTCCTCCAGGAAGTCTTCCCGATTCCATCTTCCTGCAAGCTTGTTTTTCCTACTCAGTTCCTGCAACACTCTGCATAGTATCTCTATCAGCAGCCTTATGAGTCTCCATTAGAATTATCTCTGTGAGCCTGACTCACTCACTCTTTCTTGAAAATAAAGACTGTCCTATTTATATTTCTAACTCCAACATTTAGCACGGTATGTGGCACACAGTAGACTTGTTGGTAGGAAGAATGAAGGAATATTCTTGCTGAATTTACTTCCCATGAAAATTGCTTGCAGCGAGGCACGGGGCAGCAGGCAGCGCTGTGAGTAAGGAGGGAACTGCGCTCTGCAGGGCTGTTCCTCATAAAATGTGGGCCACTGGCTCTGAGTGGGCGGACACGACTTTGTGGACAGTAAGCCTGTCTTCTCACCTCTAAGACAAAGACTGACTTGGGAAGTCCAAGAGTTGTTAACGCAGGAAGAACTGACAGGTCCTAGGAACAAAGAGGCAGGCTTTCCCAGGGAAAGACGTTTCTGCATTTGTCAGAAACCCTAAACCAGATCTGCCCCTGTGGCTACTCAGACTAATAAGAGGACTCAACCACCCATGTCACAACTCCCCATGTTAAAAGGGAAGCGGTGACAATGAAATCAGAGGGCTGGAAAACTAGAAAAGCTGAAAAGTGTAAAGAGTGACTTAACCAAGACGAAACAACAGCTCCAGATAGTTGAAGCAAAAGCCAGGTTACATCCAAGAGAATGTGAGAGATTTCTACCAGGTATTGTATACATGCAGCTTCTTCTGAAGTGGAAGATGATGGTCTCCCCAACTTTGTTTGCTCAGTGGAAAAAACTGGGAGTATCCTGTCACCTAGGATGTTGGTCTTTGGTGGAAGAATCTACCCAAAGTCATCTTGGTAAGTTGGGAAGACAGTACTGGAATATCTGTTGAAGATAAACTATGCCGGTGACCTGACCATGCGTCAAATATACAGCCAGAGAAGTAATGAAATATATGCTAGAGAAAGAACCCAAAATGTTGTGAATTTTAAATAGTTTCCAGAATGTTCTCTTCCATAGGAAGCATAAAATTTCAAAAGTATACCCTACTGCCAAAAAAGTATTAAATACAGGCGGTCTGCAACTTATGAACAGGTTGCATTTCAGAAGTTTGTTTTTGAGGCAGTCGTGTGAGAATTTGGAATGTGCATTTCCCACTGAAATTGTACCTACATGGCGGTCATTTTCCCAAGTCAAATTAACCCATCATGCACTTGGAGTGCTGTGCGCCTGGCGAGCCAGGAACCAGCCAGTGTAGAACAATGCCACTGTGGGAATGTGTTGGGGGGGTTCCACTCAGGACCCTCACATTTTCTCCTGTTGAAGAACTAGTGGGAGGCAGCAGGGGATCAGGCCTTGGGTCCTCCTACTCCTGTTTTGCTAAGCAGTAAAGGGAAGGATGCCTCAGGCTTAAGGTCACTAGTAGCAGTTTCCGGTGTGGTGACTTACGTGGGTGATTTGGAGGAGCTGTCACGCTTGCGTATGGAGGCACTTCTCCGTCTGCAGATCCCTCTTCCATACACTTCTGAGACTATAATGTCTATATATGTCCTTAATGACTGACCAACAAGAGTTTACTAGATGCACAAAATAGGTACACAATAGACATTTTGTTGACGTTTTTATAAATCTGGTCTGATAATAGTGATGGCAGGCCTGGGGTATCTCTCCCCTTTCCTCCTTGACTTTGCTCAGTCTGCAGTGAAGGTGGGGACTCCTTCCTGGACCAACACTGGGGCCAGGTGAGAAGCGAGAGCTAGAGTTCTGAATAAAAGTGGAATTTTCAGCCAGAAAGGAGGAGAGTCAGGAAGTCAAATGCCTGAATGGACATTTGTACATAAGCTACAAATAATTAATTTCCCTAAGAGCACAAAACAACAACAACAACAACAACAAAAGTCTAGAGATACCTGTAGTGTGGGGAATAAGAACCCTGAATTCTCCCGAAGAGCTGCTGTAAGTTTAGGGAAGTGATTTTAAATGCATATCACAGACACATACAAAAAAATATGCAAACCAGGCAGGACTCTGGCCAATTTCAACTCGAAGGTGCTTTCCAGCTATTATTTTTTTCTCCTGCAGACTCATCTCACACTCAGATCTTTAGGAATTGTTGGGAGAGGCTGGGTATCATTCAATAACTCTCTGGGAGTCTGCTGGTGTCCCCAGCCCCAGGGCATCCGAGGCTTGGAATGTTAGTGATGTACAAGCATATCAGCTGTTCCAGGAGACCAGCACTGGTACAAAAAGCACAATGTTGTTGGCAACCTTCAGCTGCACGTTACTGCTATTCTAGGAGAAGAGCCACTCCTGAAACAGCTGAGAGAGCCTCATGGAGTGAGAGCCAGGCACATTCCTGCCCTGGGCATCACCCTTCGGCCCAAACCTCCCTCTACGGCTGCTCTCCACTTTTCAAGGTTGTGAGTAGCTGCCTATGAAACAGAAACCTGAGCGACTGGACACAGAGGTACTGAGTGGAATGTACTCAAGAAAAATCTTATCACAAAGCTGGGCTCACCCACATTTAATAATAGACACGATTATGAATGCCAGAAGAGGTTGTGGGCCCCAAAGTAACTACCCTTTCTATTTTTTCACCTAGGGTCATCTCAGTTGATAATAAATGCTCACCTGACTCAACTCCAGCTTCCAAGGCCAGTACCTTGCTGTCGAGTGAGGATATGATCACAACGGGTCAGGACCTCTCCTTGGGTAATAGTCTGGAGAGCCACACATTCAGTGAGCAAAAACAATAATGAAGAGAACAAAGAAAGAGGATGGAGGTTGGGGAATTGAAATCTGAAAAACATTTCTGGGATCTTCTGGGAAGAAAGAAGTACTATAAGAAGAAAACAGGAAGTGATTTAGGGGCTCTTCTTACCCTGCAATGGAAACCAACTCTCTCCTTCCTCCAGCATAGAACAGCCTCAAGCTTTGGACTGGAAGCCAGTGTCAGAGACCCCCAGGTCTGGTCCAGGAAAGACACTCATGGGTCAGGGCAATCCCAAGGCAGGACTAAACCCTCTCCTTTGCTGGGAATCGGCCTCTTCACTTGCTACGATTATGGAAGAGCAGGATGTAGAAGCGCGGGAGGTATAGTCTGAGGAACCATGTTTCATATAGCTGTTGTTTTCATAACACAAATTTAAAAATATAAAATAATTAAAACTACAGAAAATAAAGCTCAAAAACATTTCCCTCTCTGATAAGGGTGTGCAAAAAGCAGGATGGGAAAGCCTTCATTCAAGAAAGTGGGATACCCTCCTTGGCGGAGGTGGGTGAGGTGGAAAGGGGAAAGCTGTGAGTGGAAGCACAGCACAGATGATCTCTCCCTCCTGGAGTGCCTGCTCCATTACAGCAGTGACTGTCCGTTTGGGTCACTGCTCTACTGCAAGCACCGAGAAAAGAGCTTGCCACGTAGTGGGTATGCCAATAAATATTTTCCTAATCAGAGTTAATCAGGGTTCAGAGGGAAGGCCTATAAAGGATGGAAGAAATGTTGTCACCTCCCCATCCTTGGTTCACCTGCTCCATAGCTAGAGGTAGTGGACCAGGATTCAGAAGAATGACTTTGGAGGTCTCTTCTGACTGAGATTTGCTAGAATGCTTGGCTGGGCTGGGTGTGAGGAGCTTGGCGGTTGTGTGCAGGGGCATTGTGCGCTCCATGGGGCTGTGCTTGGAGCTGGCACCACGTCCCTGAGTGGTAGTTATTCAGAGATCAGGTACACTGTGTTCTTTATCCCAGTTTCTGGGAAGCATTTTTTTTTAGTAGCTCCAAGCAAGCAGGGGACATGAAGTTTCTCTGTCTGCTTATATCTAATTAACGTTCAGCGAGTCTCTGGCTATTTAAAATAAGGAAATAATGCATATTTATTCACACATGCTTTGAGATCTGTGGATAAAAATGCTATATTACTACTAACCACAATGAATGCACATACTTTAAATATAATTATCAATTACCAGCTACCACCTGTTGAGATAACTAACTACAGCGCCTTTAAACACCATCTTTCCAAATTTTAGAACTGAAAACATTCTTCAGTGTTATATGCGCTATATTCAACCAATTCATTAAGGAAATTCTTTGTTACTCTTATTATGACTTATGTATCAGCAAGAGAAATGGAAATTAAGCTACATGAATGACTAAAATGCCTGAGGACCTATAGCTAGAGCCCGATCTTCCAAAGTCATCTCTCCAAATGCCTCTAAGATGCATTTAATGGTATCTATATGGTCTAAGGTCATATTGCTGCATTTTAAAAACAAAATTTTGCCCTCTTGGCAAATCAAATATTAAATGGTTAAGATGCATACAAAGTAAGATGCATTTTTATAAAAACAAAGCCCCTTGTGCAAATCAGTTCATAAACCATGCATAAATAGAAGGTATTATGTTACCCTTTCCCCACTCGGGACTATAGATTGCAGCTAAAACCATAAGACTCTGCTTCTAGATGGGCAATTATTACAGGGTTTTTATTCTTCAAAAGCTATTAACATTTTTATAGCATAAGCAAAGTTATTACAAAGTACCTCTAAAATGTGAAGAATGATTTTCCTGAAACTCCTCCCAAATCCTCGCCTCAACATAAGGCACTCTATTTGTTTACTGAAAAGAAAAAAAAAAAAAAAAAAAACGAGTAAGTAGGTTAAAGCTGAAATAAAAATGCTGCTGGCACAAAGCCAAGGGAGTCCCAGTGAAACGCCACAGTTCTGTTCTCCACAGCGTATTTTCTAAAGTGCAAGGAAACAGATAGAAAACAAATATACTCGGGTGTTTAAGTCATCATCAACATTATTAAAAACGTATTTACAGTCCGACCCATGTGGCTGCAAGGCTCCAAGCCAGTGGGTGCTCAGGGCAGCCAGGGTCATCCATCCGTCCAGCCGAGTGTAGCTTGGCAGTGGCCTCTGGAACACGCACACTGTGGCCTGCCTCTACCACAGAACTCAAACCTTCTCCACAACAAAGGACATGATGGCAGTGCCTTCACGCTCAAGTCTACAAGGGCATTTCATCTTACAAAATAAGACAAAGGTAGAAATCCTATCACAATACTAGGAGTGCAGGATGAATTTCTGAAATCGGCTCCCGTGCCTCAAAAGCTTGAGAGTTCATCCTAAGAAGAGTCTGCAAGTACAAGAACACGTTCTCTTTGCATTCTTAACGAATTTTCTTGACGCCGTGTTGTCACAAAGTGAAGAGACACCTGATAACTAGATAATTTATCTAGGTAAGACACCAATTAGCAGTGACAAGGCTGACTTGGGTTCTCACGCTCTTCTTTGAACTGTAGGCCCTGACATGTGGCTGCAGAGGCACCAGGAGAGAAATCAATACAGTGGGCTCTGAAGGGAAATATCTATTCTTAAAGACTGAGTTGCCCAATTTCCAACAGGCAAGCTTTGAGTTACAGATTTTAGAGCTGCGATGGATCTTAAATAACACGACGTCCACCTTCATTTTATTTGTGAGAAAACTTAAATGCAGGGTTGAAAAAGAAAGTGATTTGCTCGAAGTTAGAAGGTGCCTTTTTGCAACTCCACCCATTCTCATAGACTACTGAGATAGTCACCTCACCCTTAGTATGCTTTCCTTTAAAGAAAATTTCAAAAGCCCTGAACCTCAGGGCTAATGTAACAAGAAAAAGTAGATTTAAAAGTGCTGAAAAGGAATTTTCTATGGGGACAAGAGTGGTTTGGACATGTGACTACTTTTTTCTTTGCCCTGAAGCCATGAAAAAAGGAATATTTTGAAAGGACAACAAAATTGGAAAAAAAAGAAAAGAAGTGCACACACACACAAAGGAAAATTAGGCTGAAGCTAGGCTCCTTAGTAGCTAGTGTCACAGAAACCACGGCTTCTCCCCCAAAGATCAGTGGCTAGGAGTAGAAACTGGAGAGATTATTCACAGGGAAGATTCAGGAAAGATCGCGGAGCTCTAACTGTGTGGCCAATAATGGCCACAATGCTATTCCACTGACAGTGGACATTGGCCAATAACCAAGGTGATCATTGCCATCAGGGAAGGGCTTGAGGCCTTGAAAGCCCAGGTATTGGGACCACGAAGTCATAGGGGCCTATGGTCCTATGGTTATGTGTGGGCCTCCAAGCTACCAGGACAAGGCAGCTGTTTACTCACAGACTGGGAAAGCGCAGCTCTGACAAACCAATGGGGAAAGCAGACAAAGAGGACTGCACTGCCAACTAACTCTTTGAGGTCACAGGAGAGATATCGAGCTCACCAAATGCAAAGCGGGAAAGTTTAAAGAAAAAGTCATTACATCCCTCTTACGCAATAACTGAATTTACAAACTCAAAGAGAGAGAGATGAATGGAAGATAACAGACTAACAGCAGCAGGAGGAGTTACGGCAGAAAGGAGGAGTTAAGACAGAAAGCTTTAAACTGCCATTATGTAACTGCAGGAAGATGCTAGTAACCCCTGCAGAGATGCATTATGTCCAAAGACTGTACTCGGTCATTGCAGTAGAGAAATCCAGCACGGAAACAAGGTGGAGGGTGGCTCTGCTCAACAGAAAAGGCTTACAACTCAGCCTCTCCATCCTTCAGTCACAAAATAGGGCTTGATGATTTTCAAGATTCACAGCTGCATTTTCTATAATGCGGTTACTTGCATATGTATATATATATTATCTAAGCTTGTTCATAATTGGCTTGGTTGCAGTCTATTTTAGTGTTATTTTCATTTTTCTCAATTAATGTCATTGTTCTTGATGAACCAAGTTAAGGAAGCCTATTTGGGCATTGTTGAAATAGAAACTCATTAAATTCCATTAGTCATCTTTCTTGTACAATTTTGGAGCCTAAATTGAGGCAATCAAGAATAAAATAGGTCCCTTGCCCTTGGACTCACGAATCCTTCAAGAGCTGGCTCTCAATACATTCCTTTTCCCCTTAGCAAGGTGTGCCAGGAATTTGGTCTTATTAGTATTTTTTTCCTTCAACGGGCTCCCACCTTCTCTACTTCTCCAGTTTCCTTTCCTTGGCCGGGCTATGGAGTATGACATGCTACCCAGCTTTCCTGTTTTTCCTGTCTCTAGAAATATGCACATAGACCTTTTTCATGTAAGGACGGTACTTGCCAACGAGGAAATAGATGGAATAACAAAACCACAAACAAGAGCAAGTTATAAAGGCTCCAGTATGTTACAAAATACTCAGAGTAACTGTCCTTGGTCTCTATTTCCTGATGATTGCTTTCTTAGATGCTATTTCAAGGCCTCTGTTAAATGGTGCCTGAGCTGAGCTGCTTACGTCTGTGATGGTGGATTTGAAAGTTGCCACTGTTGAAATCTGGCAACTGCTGAGCCCTGTGAGGCCCTGTGTTCTCATCTTCACTCCAGGCACAGCCCACCCCTTTGTGAGACTCATGGATGCCTGAGGTCAGGTAATTCTCTTTCCTGACCCCTGAAGCTTTTCCTGTGGGGTACAATGCAGCTCCTCACTGACGCTGGAGACAGCTCACATCTCCTTAGTTGGCCCTTTTAAATTCTACGATTATCTGTGGTCCCTTTGCAGATGGAAGACCTTTCCTTCAAAGGACCCCAAGATTCTCCCCCTGGGCCTCAGATCATTTTGTTAATCTCCAGGTGTCCACTCTACTGTTCATTGACTTCTCCATGGTTCCCCCCTCAGGGGGTCCTAACCATTCCATACACTATAGCCCCAGTTCCCTATCTACCACGTAATTCACCTTTGAAAAGTCCAGGTACCAGTCACTGGGGCGGCTTCTATCTTTCAGTGAAGCTTGCCTGTTTTGTCTTTGGTTCTCTTTAAACATTGTGACTACCCCATTTTGAAAGCCGGCCTCCAAGGGTCTCATGCCTCCAGCTAACATTCTGGCTTCCAGAGATAGGCCCCATCTCATCTCTCCAGTACATTGATCTTTTCCATGTTTAGAAGTCCCTATCTCTGTGATGAATCCAAATAAGATCCATGCTCAGAGGCCATTTCAATGCTAGATATATCCTGAGACCGAAAACCATGATAACTGCTGTCATGTACTAAGTATGCAAACAGGTTACACCAGGCACTGAGCTACATGATTCCCAGAGTTTGTTTCATCTAATCCACAAAACAAACCCATTTTCAATCCCATCTTTAGGCGAAGAACGTCAGGATAGAGAGGTAAAGTAACTTGTGCAAGTTCTCAGAACTAGTAAGGATGTCTGACTCCAAAGCTAATGGTCTTAATTTTCACGCTCCACTGCCTTCCTAAAGAAATAAGCAAGCCCAGCAGGATGTGGGTTATTATGAGCTGTGCTCATATCTCCTAACATCTCCCTGGGTCTCACCTGGGGCCAGGAAGTGGTTTGTTTATATCGACAACTTTACAACCTAAAAATTTAAATAGAGATTTTTAAATAAAAATAATTTTAAAACTAAAACGCAAAAATTGATATACACAAGTTTCACCCTTGAAAGCGGGGATTATTTTGCTGGGAGGATTACATTTGATGGAGTCTTCTAGGCTACGAGGTGCATAAACAACTGTTACACAATTGACGCCAGGGAAAGAATTTTCTCCCTTTTGAGAATTCCAGCCAGAAATATAGGGTCTGGATACTCTCCGGGTAAAAATAGCAAGCCAGGAGTTCCTTTTCCCTACGTTGTCTCATTTTGCTGCTTTTCTTCTTATTCAGGAGAATACTCAGCAAGAAAAAGAACAGATATACTACCTAAAGGATCTCATATGCCTAACAGAAATAAAAATCATGAGAAGTGGGTGCCTCATCTTTCAATTAAAATATTAAAGAAATTTATCCAAGGATACTTAAAATCTTTTAGAAAGAGGCTTGATTTACGAGTTGATAATATGCATCGTGGAGTACATAAATTTAGTCATGCTATCATCATTTCTCAGAAAAAATTCGCTCAAGTTTTGGATTCGAAAAGAGGGTAATCTTGGAAGGATGTTTTAACCATCTTTCTTCCATTGCCTCCAGTCAGACACAGTCACAACAGATCACTTTAATTGGATTGAAATGATCTGTTGGACATTCTGCTGCTTCTATTAACACATTGAGGGCAATCCCTTAGCTGCCAAGTGGTATACAGAAGTACTAATAATTTACCAGTCAATTCAATTTCCTTTTTTTTTTTTACCAATCTATCTCCATTTGTGGCTACGACTACACTCACACACACTTCCCCAAACATACGCACTGAATATTATAGAAACATCTAGTGCACAGGACAATATTATAGAAACATCCAGTGCAACTCTGAAGATTTATTCATGGCACCTAAGCTCTCTGAGCCTCTCTTTTTCCGTTTATAAGAAGAAGATAATACTTGCTAACTTCTTAAAAGGGCTTTTTGTTTTTAGGAACAAATGAGGTCATGTCAGGTGTGTTAATGCTTCCTGTAAATTGTAAGGTGTAAGCATTAATAAAACATACACATTTATCATTATTATTATTATTATTCAACTGATTTCACTGCTCTGTTCTATGCCAGCATAGGCCGGGCAGGAAAGTTTCATTAAAATGTAGTATACAGGGGCCAGCCAGGTGGTGTAGTGGTTAAGTTCATGTACTCTGCTTTGGCGGCCCGGGATTTGTGGGTTGGAATACTGGGTGCAGACCTACACACGGCTCATCAAGCCATGCTGAGGTGGCATCCCACATACAAAATAGAGGAAGATTGGCACAGATGTTAGCTCAGCGACAATCTTCCTCAAGCAAAAAGAGGAAGATTGGGAACAGATGTTAGCTCCGGGCCAATCTTCCTCAAAAAAAAAAAAAATACTATGTAATTAAATAATCTATAACATATTTTTGCTATATTCTATATCGAGTACTGATTTTATGTACACATTCCCTTTCTTGGGCTATTCTTCTCTTTCCGAAATCAATTTTGAGGGAAAAAGACGTGACTCGCTGTGGCAGATGAGACAGGAGTAGAACTATATACTGGCACGGAAAGGGATATTCATAGGAATTAACTTGTTTTTACCAAAACAAGGAAGGTATTATGCTCTTTCCACCTAATTTTCCCCTGCTATCCTCTCCTAAGTATTTTTCCCATTCTTCTCTCTCTCTTTCTCTCTTTCCCATTGACTGGAAAGGTGCTGAATGCATAGAAACATGACTCGGATGGTCAAAATCCCCTTCCCATTTCTGGAGACCAAGCTGCTTTCATTAACCAATGCTGTGAGGTCCAGAAGATAAACAACGCCTGACCCTCTCCAAAGGATGACTTGGTCCAGAAGATCTCTTAGGGGCGGGCTTGTAGTCACTGTGGGCTAGACCAGGAGCAGCCCCCTTCATCAGGACTCTCAGAACATCCAAATTCATGCTTTCATTTCAGGATATGTCTCCGGGCAGACATGGAATCATGGCTGACCCTCCTCCCGTTCTACTGTAGACTATAATGATTTAAGAAAAAAGTAAAGAGCTAAAAGTTAGACAGAAAAATGGGAAAAATATAGAAAGAAGTTTTTTTTTTTTTTTTTTTAAAGATTTTATTTTTTCCTTTTTCTCCCCAAAGCCCCCCGGTACATAGTTGTGTATTCTTCGTTGTGGGTTCTTCTAGTTGTGGCATGTGGGACGCTGCCTCAGCGTGGTCTGATGAGCAGTGCCATGTCCGCGCCCAGGATTCGAACCAACGAAACACTGGGCCGCCTGCAGCGGAGCGTGCGAACTTAACCACTCGGCCACGGGGCCAGCCCCTAGAAAGAAGTTTTTAATAAACGAAAAAATACATAACCTACCCCTAAAAATGAAAGCTCATCAGGACTTGTGATGTATTTTCTCTTTAGAGGAAATATACCCACTTTGCAATGATGAAATACTATCCAAGGTCCAATACTAGTTTCCTTTACTCATCCTTCAGATATGTCTGTGTTCATGCCCCCCATACTCCCAAATATATATGACTGGGAAAAGGAGAAACAAACCAGGAAGCAAACACGCATAGTCACAAACACACACACAGAAACACTGACCAATTCCCTAGATATGAATTTTTGGCTGGTTTGGAATGTGGGGAGGAAGGAGTTAAAGGAAATCTGTTGATAGCATATGTGCAGATACTTCTGCACATTTCAACGAGTTTTAAAGACCTGCATGCTTCACTGACTATTGTTAAAAACATACTGAATTGGTTATGACAACCTGTGGGTTAGTTTACACCACAGTCTAAAAATTGGGAAATTCAGTTTAGAAATTTGATCAATATTCATGCCATCTCACATCGTAATTCAATTGGCAAAAATGCAGTAGAAAATTCCCCGGGGCAATCCTGAAGAACAACTTACATTCTGGTGGTTTAACATGTGTAAACCTCCTGCTTGGAATCACTGATGGGGGCTCATAGAAGCCTTGAACTGTAACAAGGCCTTCCAGGTGATTCAATGGAGGGGTTAACTGTGCTAGAGCAGAAATGAGCAAATTAAAGTGAATATGCCAAGGCAAAAAACTCAAGACGCTTTTTTTTTTAAACTCTCTACGAGAACTCTCCCCCAAAAGCATAAAGAACTGTCAAAATAGGATCTTGCTTAAAATGCAAAAGGTATTTTCAAAGCCAGGATGACATTTGCATACAATATGTGCTGAAGGCTGATGATACGCTGAAAATGTCTTACTCGTAGATTGAGTCTATATGACATCAAATGTCAGGAGGAAAAAAAAAAAAAGGGATTTAAAATTTTAGATTCAAAAATATTTCTTGATGGCTTTCTCTCATTAATTTAAACACTGACCTGAATGTTAAACTTATATGTGGCTTCATGGCCTCTAAAAACGGAGTCTGTATTGAACGGTTGCTGAACGTGTATTAGTTACTTACACAATACCACATTTGAAAACAGCAACTAATATAGCTAGAAACGTTAGGATGCCAGCATCACCGTGATTTCAGCTCTGGCATTTTTATTCTAAAATACTCTCCCATGTGGCCCACCACCAGAGTTTGGGTTGTGGCCACCTTCTATTGCTTCTTAGATTATTTCTTCATTTGGGGACAGCAACACAGTGCTAAGGCCACTTTTCTAAAGTTCAATTTCAATAAAGTTTCTGGTCTTTAAAAAATAAATGTCATGGCAAATCCTTAAAAAGATCAAATATTCTAATATTATTCACCCGATTTCTCTGAGCTTAAAGTGGCTAACTTCTGGCAGGGGGCCCTTAGAGAGAAAATTGCATGTTTACTGCGTGTAACAAAGACACAGTGTCCTTTTATTTTCCCCTCTTATTTTGATAAAATCAGTGCAAATGAAATCAATAACTGTTTAAAAATGTTAACATTTTTCTGCAGCAGCGTAACTGGATTTGAGCTAAGGTACTTAAGCACAGACAGAACAATCATGCCTTTCATTGGGTATTCGAAGTAACTTGACATGCATAAATCTTCATTATTTTTGATTAAGTGAAGGGGTAAAACAAAACTCTGCTAAAAGAGACACAGATAGAGGCTAAAGCCCTCTGAAGAACTATCGTTCTGCTAGTTTGGGTGGATAAAATCCACTGACATGATTTTCCTGATGAGCAAAGACGTCTTTCTCAGTCTCTTACACTGGAGCTCAAAACTTGCTCTAAATAACATTTACAACATAATACAATAATTTCCCAAGAATAAAAAGAAGAAAACTATTCTTTATATGATGGCCTTCATATAGCTGTACATTATTGTTTTACATCGCACACTATTCACTCTCAGTTACTAAAGGAAAACTGAAAAATGGAAAATTATGGTCTTGGCAAACACATAAAATGTATACTGTACCATCTGCTAGCTATTAGGTAATTATAAAAAGGATCATGTAATGTAATCATGAAACTACTATTTTTACCTAATCTTTTGACTTGTAAGTAAATATTTCTACCTGTCAAGTGATCTCTGGCTAGCTGGTAGTGTGAACCTTCTCCACTGTCAGTCTATGGGGATGCTGGCTCCAGTGTGGTCCTCCCACATTTGGACAGTGCTTGGAATGGCAGCATGCTGCATGATCCGAAGGGATTGGAGGAAGAAGAGAAGCGAGAGGAAAAGATCCCACTGTCAGGGCCCTGAACTGTTCAACACTGGAGAGCTGAGTCGAGTCACTACTCTTCTTCATCAAGCAGACTTTCTACAAGCCACCAAAACGGAAGATGCTCCGAAGGGCCAAAGGATGTGTATCCAGAGTTCTGTTTTCATTTAACATGGCCAAATTTTAAGGTTGAGCCGTGCAAAATGTTTTCCAGGAAATAGAAAAAGCCAGTATATACAGAGGCATATTAAGTGTTCTGTCTAAAGTACAAAAAACCTTGACAAATAATATAAAAAAGATTTTCCAAATCAGAGGGTTCTTTCTTTCTTTTTTTCTTTTAGGAGAGTGAGCAGACTTCCCCATTAGACTGACTGACAGCGAAGCTTGATAAATGTCAATTTGCATGAGTTTGCAATGTAAACTGAAACAATTATTTTAGACCATCACTTGGATATTTTAAAATTAGATTTTAAAGGAGCAAAATCACATGTGTTTTCTTAGGTTGGATTTTAACTGTCACCATTCGAAGCTTTCAGATTTTAACTCTTACTATGCGGTTTTGAGCAAATGTATTTGTTGATAATATTGGAACTAATAGAAATGAATTATTTTTCTTCATTTTCACTTAGTTCCTATTCAAAATATATCATTGTTCCTAAAAGCTACATTGCCAGATATTACACATGTGTAAACAAAATAAATTTTAACACAATCTTTGAACATCTTCTTATTGATATCAATACGCTTTCACACTACTCAAGGCAGCGGTAATATCAAGTTTACACGATTTTTTCTTCTGCTGCTTTCTATTTGCAAATATATTAGGTGCTGCCTCAATGCATTTAACAATTAAAAGTAAGGAAGGGTCAGGGCTGGTCCCATGGCTGAGTGGTTAAGCTCACACGCTCTGCTTCAGTGGCCCAGGGTTCCACAGGTTTGGATCCTGGGCGCAGACCTAGCACCACTCATCAAGCTATGCTGAGGCGGTGTCCTACGTAGCAGAACCAGAAGGACCTGCAACTGGAATATACAACTATGTACTGGAGGGCTTTGGGGAGAAGAAAAAAAAAAAAGAGGATTGGCAAGAGATGTTACCTCAGGGCCAATCTTTAAAAGAAAGTAGGGGAGGGTTAAATTAATTATCATTCATTAATTAGGTTGTATGATGTGAAATTGCCAATATTTGACCTTTTTTTTTTGGTGAGGGATATTGGCCCTGAGCTAACATCTGTGCCCATCTTCCTCTATTTTGTATGTGGGACGTCACCACAGCATGGCTTGATGAGTCATGTATAAGTCCACACCTGGGTCCTGAACCTGGGAACCCCAGTGCCTTGAAGTGGAGCACATGAACTTAACCACTATGCTACTGGGCTGGCCCCTATTTGACCATTTTTTGACCTACCAAAATGGCAATCTCATATGCCTTAATCTAATTTGGTAGAATGTTATGTATGGAGCAGGAAAGGTCACGGGCTTTGAAGTCAC